ATATCTGAGATGCTTCACAACTGAGTCTACGAAGCATTGGTCTAAGTTCCTACCATGGGCTAAATTTTATTATAATATTGTTGTCCATTCATCAACAGGTATAACGTCTTTCAAGGTGGTTTTTGGGCATTGGATTATAATATTGATATAATGGAAGATCAAGGGATACAATTACAAGAGGGAATTGAAGATACAAATGTAATTGCAAGTCAGCAATAACAGCAAGAGACAAGTATAGCACAAAGGAAAGCTACACGAGAGAGGAGGAAACCCATGAGATTTGAAGAATAATTTGTAATAGAATGTAGCACGTGAGTAGCACATGAACATAGTTACGGTAATTGAAGTGTAATAAAAAAGGGCAAGTGACTCTCATATTTTTTGGCTTTGAAGTAATAACAAAATTCATTTTTCTCATCTTTCTTCTCTGTAATTTCTCTCAACTTTTCCTTTCTTCTTATCAACGAGGCTTATTCTATCAATCCTACAATGTTTTTTTAGACAATTAAGCTATTAACGAAGCAAGACAAACCTACGATGAGAAATTTAGGTAGATTTGTTTTTTCTTTCCGGTGAACATTTCATTTCACCACTAAGAGCCTTTAAATCATGGCCATTGTCATAAGTAACTTATTCAAGTATTTGAGTGTGACATTCAGTGTCTATTTGCTTTCATTCTTTATCGTTCGCTAGCATTTCTAACATCCCAAGATTAGGTATGCATCTCTTTTTCTCTATTCGGCTTCTCTAAAATTAAGTTATCTGATTTCTTTATCTTTGGTTCTCAGATGCAAAATATGCAATTTGTCTCTCTTCGACTTCTCTAAAATTAGCTTATCTGATTTCTCCATTTTCAATCTGTAAATATGCACTTTTTCTATGTTCGGCTTCTCTAAAATTAGTTTATCTTATTTCTCTCTCTTTAGTCATCACGTGCAAATATGCACTTTTTCTATCGGTCTTTCTCTTTGTTTCTATCCTTTATTAGGGCACGTAATCAACTCCATCACACAGAGTCAAAATATCTGAGATTCTGATGGGATCACATTAGTGTCAATCGGTTTCAACTTCGAAATAGGCTTCTTCAGTGTTAGTAACTCTTCAAGATGTATTGGAATTTGGTATTGCAAATTTCCTAAGTCAGCCTACGTATGGTTTGTAATTAGGGAGTTCCATCAATGGAAAAGAAGATACCGTCATAATGAAAAGTGATGGAAACTTGGTTGTACTTGATGGAGAGAAGAATGAGGTGTAGAGTAGGAATGTAACGCCTTGTCAGCTGCCGGTTTGTTATCATAAATTATGCATTAAATGCAGCACAATAATCAAATATATGGAAGCTACATATAAAAGTATCACTAACTTGTACAGTCTCATACCTGCACAATATTCTTACTTGATAACTTGTAAACCATAATTAATGGTATATGACTATCCGAGTATGATAAGGTATGTCATCCCGGGTAGAATCACACGGACAACATCTCAGCTGTAAACTAAACATGTAGGGATAATTTCCCGCTGTCATACTAGGTACTTGATAATTAGATAACGCAGTCCATTGATAATTGATATTTTATTGTACTTATTTGCTACTCTTGGTTAGTATTTTTAGCATTATCTGGAGTTAAGTAATGATCTTTTGGGTTAAATTAGATTTTTGGCTTTTTATTGGGTTTAATTTATTATCGTAATTAATTTCCAACTTTACGTTACTTTAGTGTTTTGACCATATCTCACTTCACAGATGTCCGATTGACCCGGTTCTTGTTGCGTTTTAAAGATAACTCAAAGGGATACAAATTCTATGAAGACAAGAAAGCTCAGTTCAGACAGGAAGATGATCAAAATTAGAGCCCAAGTTAGAAACGTGATTCTGGAATTTTAGTTAAAAGTGGACTTAAGTTGTAATTTTGAACACAATGTACATGAGGCCCAGAGCCATTATTTTGGTTTCGTTTACTTTTATTTTCGGTTAGATTTGTAGAGCCCAAGCCCAGCTTGATTAGGGGTTAAAAGGGCGAGAGTATGGACCTCGTGGATAATCTTTCGTTTGAATTTGAATTTTATAGTTTTGAAATTAATATAATTTTCGTCTTTTTTTTCTCCTCTTTTCTTTAATCAACCCAAGGGTTGAAGATTCATTGGTTGAATCCTGAGAACCTGCGCCTCTTTTTGAACCCAATTTGTTTCTCTTTCCAACTCGGTTTGACATCGCACAATTGTGGGTGTTCAATCTGAAAAACGCAATTGCGTTCTTAGGAAAGAGATTAACCATTAGATTCAATGGTTAGGTTGATTAACCCAATGAACTCAAGTCGAACGGGTTGGTACTTCGAGATTGTGCGAGTAAACACGTCGTATTCGACCAAATGCTAGGTGATTGTCTAGAGAGGGGTTCCTAAGAGAATGTAGGGATTCAAATTCGTTTAGGGTCAACCACGATTTGGTAATTATTTGTCCAATGATGGATGTCCTTGGAATTCTAATTCTTGGGTTGGTTTCTTTTAATTTGATTATTCTCGTTTTTTTTTTCATTTCCATTTAAATTGACAACCATATTAAAACCCCCCATTTTAGTTTCCGTTTTTCTTTAGTTTCGGTTTCTCCTTAGTGTCTCTTTTTATTTAGTTCCCATTTTTATTTGGTTTTCATTTTTATTTGATTCCCATTTTTATTTAGTTCTTGTTTCATTTAGTTTCTGTTTTATTTAGTTTCCATTTTCATTTGGTTGCCATTTTATTTTTATTTTTATTTTTATAATTGAGCGATTAAGTTCCTTGAAAACTCCTTGAGAGACGACTCAGGTTGACGCTTTACTACAAGTTTATAATAAACCTGATTTAATTAATTTGCACGAGTTCGACAGCTTGTGTCATCCATACAAATATCAAACTGTCCACTAACAAAAGACCTAGAATCCATCCATGGATTCATACATGAAATGGCACTGTACCAATATTTACATAATTATGTCAAATGCTTTATAAACATAATAGTATATGAACAGACATACAAGTACCATAGTATCAATCAATCTAGTATATGGACCATAGAATTACATCAAAATGTCATCCAAATAAACATGGGCAATATGTGCCATACATAAATACAGGCCTCATCTAAATAATATAAGATCTTGTCGTATAAGGCCATACAAACTGATACCTAATCATGCCACATAGTCTCTCAAAATATCTTATACACCTCATCATGTAAGCATCCAATAGTGAGACATCTCGAATTGTCTTTTGCCCAATGATGGCCCTTCTCCTGCTACTGAGCTACCTGAAATATATGTCCCCAAACGGGGTGAGATTACAATATCTCAGTAAACTCACTAAGGGAATTCATATATCTAACCTAAATACAATGGCAAAATGTGTGTTTTGAGCTCAAACACATTATACGTCCCTCACAATAGTAACAGTGCCATATGAGGTGTGTATATGTGTGTGACAGTGCCATATAAGGTAAGTGTGTGTGTGTGTGTGTGTGTGTAGGTGTGTGTGTGTGTGTGTGTGTACATCTCCACTTGTCAAATAACATAGTACATTACTTATCCCTCCACTATTACATCAATCTTCACATATCAGACATCATATCATTTATCATTTATCCTTAATTTCATCCCTATTTTCAAATTGCTTTTTAGTTCCGTTCTTTAAGATAAATCAATACATCAGGCCTTCAATTCGTATAATTTGTACTTTGAGAGTACTTAGCCAATCTTAAACTCTTTCTTATTGTACACTTGAGTTGAAAGGATAATGAGACCCTAAGGGTTGGAAAGGTAGCCCGTTGCCTTACGAAATTAGGAGGAATTGTACGGTGTTCAAGAGCCATAATCTTGGTTTTGTTGTGGTTTGTTCAATCACCCTTGAAGATTGATCAATAGTGGAGAATCGTGTGTTATAACAATCAGGATGTAGGTCCCAGTGGTTGTGACCAAAGCAGGATCGAGTTTGCATTATCTATATCCCCTCCTTTACCTAAGCATACTTGAGCATATTTAGCTTCTAACTTGTTGATCATTATTTGCTTGCCTAAGTTTTTATCCATCACTTTTTGCTTATCTTAAATCAAAGTATCTCAAGGATTTGATTTTTCAAAGAAAGTGAGGCAATTTACAAAAAAGTTCTTTAAAACTTTTTACATTTTATAAGAGGGTGACAGGGAAAATTTTTATATCCAGTCATAGGACAAACAATAAACTCATATATATTTTGGGAAAATTGGGTGTCTAGTAACTGAATATAAGATATTGTCCAGTCACTGCATTATAACTGTGTACTTCGGAGGATACATACTTATAATATTAAAGTTATACTTTTTTCTCTCTTCATAAACTTGTCTACTGATGTGAAAAATGTAAAAAGTACAACTTTAATATTATAACTATGTATTTCTTAAAATATATAGTTATAATACGGTGACCGGATAAAATCTTATATCCACTGACTGAACATCGTATTCACCCATTTATTATCCTCGTTTGGATTCAATAAGGATACATTGGTCCATCCACCTAAGCACAACCTAAGTTGTTGAGATTACAAATTTTATTGGAGAATAAGTTTAACTCGAGACAATAACAATTTATCAAAGTATCAAAGTGTGAGATTTATGAGTCAGTTATATATTTTTGAAGACATAAATATTTAATCTACATATAAACTAAACGGGTTTAATCTGCATAAATATTTACTTTGTCTACCACAAACATATGTTTATCATGATCCAATGTCGGATCTGGTAAACATGTGTCTGTGACAAATAAATTTTTCTATTGCTGCTGCAGAAAAATGGAACCTATAAACTAAACGGTGTAACTTGGATGTTATTATAATTTACTTAAAAATAATAAAATATACAATATTAAAAAGAGAATACATGCGGGCTAGAAAATCTCTCACCATGTCACATTTCTTGTTTTAAATGAACATATTGAAGGAACTGAGAGAGCCCGGAGGAAATTATACACAAAAAGCTCAATATAATCAATTCTGAGCTTGTCTCTTGTCTTGGTTAATTTCGTCAAGAATCAGAATTAGTGCCACTATGAATGCATAGTCAATATCGGGATACACTGTGACCATGAAATTATCTTTCCCAAATGCAATGCTTTGAACGGTGTGCTTCTTATGCATCTGCAATCACATAATATTGCATTTACAATATTAGCATTTAAAGAAGGAAAAACTCGCACTTTTAACAATAACCAATTTTATTGATATATAACTCCATACAACTAAAATAATTTTAAGTAATCAAATAGAAAGACTCACCTGCGCAACAATGGTGAGAGATTCACCAGCATAAACAACACAAGATTTCTCGAACCAACTTCCTTTCACCTTAAAGTCACAAACTTTTTCTTTAGTATTATCAGCTAAGAACACATCTAACTTAGTCTTTAGCTGAAACATCGATGATCGCTTTACACTAAAGATCAAATCTTTCATCTCCATGCTTTCACCCCGAAAAGCTTGCCATCGATCATGTCCTGTCATTACCTACATAAATAAATTTGATTCGTTACATATGTTTTTTTTTTTTTTTAAAGATGATAACATGCACATAATTTCCTAAACAAAAATCTAAAATCTGAGAGGTCAATTTCAAGAAACTAATCAAAATTTCAAGAATAACCAACATAATTTATGCTATAAGATAAGTGTAAATTAAAATTCTTCGAATCATTAAAAAATATAATCAAATAATTCTAAAATAGAGTCTAAACAATATGTTAATTAAAGATATCAAAATAAGTAGGTAGGTAAACATATGGTCAAACCTTCCGGCGTATCGTGACGATGGGTTTTCCGGCGGCATCAAGTAAGACACGGTTGTCATGGAGGGACATGAGAGAGCCCTTAAGGTTGAAAACAACTTTGCCATTAACGTTGGTGACGGTGAAGTTATCACCTAATGTCATGACCTTTCTAACAATAGCTAGGTCGATATTATGTGGAGCACAATACTGAGGGTTGATGATAACGGTGGGGTTCCCCTTTGGCATGATTCTAGTTTGAAGTGTAAAGAGAATTTGGTGAATATGGATATTGGACTTTCAACTTCTCGTGAAAGCTTTCTGTGGTGTGGCTTATAATTGTGGTTGGGTATGTATACTTCTTTGGTAGATACAATGATACTAGAAAGTTTGTCATTTATATATTTGTGTGTTAGTGATATATGCGATCTGAAATGGTCAATGACCAAGTTGGAAGGGAGTTTTGAAGGAGAATAAGTAAGGATTACGTAGGAAGATGCTATAGAAGACTACTTCTGGTTCAAAGTTATAACTCTCCTTTGAAAAACATATATTTATATAATATATGGACGCTTTCAAAAGGAACGTTGTGACATGTGTTGTTAAACTAGTCTTTATTATTTTGGACTAATTCTATCCGGAGGCGGAGAAAAACATACAAATATCATTGAATATATATATATATATATATATATATATATATATATATATATATATATATGAAAGGGTTATATTTACAATTTTTTTGTTTACAAACTACACTATGTACTCCCGGGAGAACACTTGTAACATCTCAAGCGCTGACGAGGGCGAGGAGTGATCGCTGGTGCAAAGAGGCACGGACAAGGAGCGGCTCCTGACAGGCTTCCAGCGGGGGTTACATGCATGAATGAATAGAATCGACACCCGAAATAGAGGGATTCCAAAGACTCTGCAGGCGTGAGACTGCACAGTTTGGGATAGCTTATAAGAATTAATTAGTACTACCTATACAAACAAGATGCATCTATTTTTTGGTAGTCCGGAATGGAAGAACTTTATAGTGAAGCGTGCTTGACTTGGAGCAATTCTGGGATGGGTGACCTCTTGGGAAGTTTTCCCGGGAAGTGTGTGAGTGAGAAAAAAGCACACTGAAAAGTCTCGTGTTAGTATGTGGGGACAGTCATTGATTCTTGAAGCGGCCGGGCATTACAAATGGTATCAGAGCAGGCCTCTCTTCCAGTATGGTGTGGTTCGAGGACGAACCAAGCGGAAGCTGGTGGGGCATGTAACATCCCAAGCGCTGACGAGGGCGGGGAGTAGGGTTGGCAAGAATGAGCCAACCCGTCGGGTTGGCTCGCAACCCGTCCTAAATGAGTCGGGTTGGGTTGGCCTAAATAAGCCGCCAACCCGACTCGATACAACCCAGACTCAAACGAGCCAGCCCGCGGGTTGGGGATTTTTTTTTATTAAAAAAAATAATATGAAAACTAATACCCTAATTTCTGCCCCCTTTTGACATTTCATCTCACTAGTTCATTTTGCAATCAACCTTGTTTATTTTCTCACACCTTGCAATCGAAGAACCCTAGCTCATGCCTCACAGTAAGGTCTGCTCACGCCTCACAGTAAGGTCTTCTCACATTTAGTTTACCGTTTTGTTTTTTATTTAGTTTACCGTTTTGTTTTCTGAATTATTTTGTCAAACAGATTTGCTGATTTCCCCCATTTCATCTTCGCTCTCCAACTCGAAGTCACCAGCTCCAACTCGAGGTCACCAGATTTGCAAGACATCACTGATTCTCATCTCCTCAGGTCATTCATTTCCCCCCTTCGATCTGGATTTTTATTCTTTGATTCGATTCGATGCTGTTGGTTACTTGATTTATAATGGTACTTGTTGATTTTTCTCAGGTTATAATTTTTGAAGTCATGTTATAATTTTTGAATTCATCTATCAAGGATAAGCTATACAACACGGAATACAAATTTTATCATCTTATTACTGAAGTGTGAGTTTAATACTTACAGCCAACCAAAAAAGAGGTAGCTTACTAATTTTTTTATGTCAAATTCCACATTATCTCAACTCTCCATCTTAACTAGAAAAGGCATTCGTTTTTTACAGTAAACCAAGCAAGATATTTACAAGATAGCTACTTCTATTAACTCAGCTTCGCGATGAATATAAGAATGAGAAATAAATGCTATGATACTGCATACCATAGGAGGACTAACAGTTCCAGTTTTAATTTCTTATATTGGTTTTACTCTTGTCATGCTATTACTTTTTAAGATATATAAATATGCATTCCGTGTCCTTTTTTTTAGTGAACTTTGGATACAGTTTGCATTGGGAGGGAAAGAATATTCCTTCTTAAAGAATATACTTAGTCATTAGAAAGTTAGTTAGAGGAAGGTTTTGTTTGTCTAAAAAGAGGTGTTGCCCTCTATATGTGATAGACTGGGTATTTTTCTGAATATTGGCTTAGAGTGCTAATTTTGATAAGGGGAGTGCCCCTTGGCATTTGGCAAGAGAAGTGTCTCTTGTATGTTCATTTGATTTTATCATCAGTGAACAGATTTTTCCTTCCATTTCTATTTGTTTCTTTCATTCCTCCCTTCTAGAAGTATATTTTGTATGTTCATTTGAATTTTTTTATTCTTTTATTAAGGTATTGATGCTCTGCCAACATGTTCTAAATTTCTAATTGACTCAGGCTTTAAGTTGTTGGTATTTATAGTTCAATCTATAAAGCAATTTGAGCCTCTAGTGCAAACTTCACCTAATGGATTAAGGCCATTAAAAAACTTGTTGCGTATCTAGCAAGTGTACTAGTCGTACAAGTAATAGAATGATGAGTAAAGATCGTTCCCACAGAGATTTATATTCAAACGCCAATTAACCATAGAAAACTAATCTGAATCAAACAAGAGTTTGTAAAAATCATGAATGTTTTGTCACTACAAAATTGATTTGAAAGTAACTTGATATAATACTAAAATATGAATTGGGATTTAATAAAACAAGTAGTCAGAAAACAATTTTCCCTCCTGGACACCAAAAACCCCATATAAATTACAAGTTGCAACTGAAAAACTGCCAAAACTAACACAGACGCTAAAACGCTCCCTCCTGGACGTTTTAGCGCCATCTTCAACATCCATTCAACTGCTTTCAACTGGCTTCAGCGTTAAAACCTTCTGTTTGGGCATTTTAGCGCTGAAGACCAGCATATTTGTGGCTTTGACGTGCAGCAGCGCGCTAAAACGTTCTGGATGGACGTTTAGCGCTCCATACCAGCATCTTTTGGCTTCTTTCTGTAACAGGGCGCTAAAACGTCCTGTATGGACGTTTTAGTGCTCAACACTTAGAATTTTTCTCTTCTTCAGAATCTTCTTCCTTCTCCTAGTTGCCTTTTAAGCTTGATTTTCCTACAAGAACAATGCAAATTTTCAATAAAGCTTCTTGAACTTGTAGTTGAGGACATTATAGGATATTAACCTCTTTTTCCATCATTAAATCACACAAATTGATACTAATTCATGCTGAAAAACCTGATTATTTAACACTATACCAAGTAAATGAAATCATAAAGCCTAAATTTCTGTATTGATCTTTATAGTCATGAAGCAATTTATGCAAGAACTATAAATACCTGTGTTGATCTGTCCTAACTTTTTTTACCTTATCTATGTTGATCTGTCCTAATTTTTTACATGCAGGCATCAAATTTGTAACGTGCAGACTTTAAATCTCTCTGAAATGGCTGATTCGAATAGGTAAATATTTTCCTATTTTTCAAATCTCTCTTTTCCATTTCCGCTATAGTAATTTTATATTAAACTTTGATGTAGGGAAAGTTTGGCATTCATTGAAGAGGGCAATGATGCTGATGCGAAAAGCGATGAATTGGAAGTTGAAGAAGGACCTGCTCTTAAAAAGCCTAGGAAAAGGCAAGCGCGTTGCTGGAAATATTTCACAATACTAGGAGAAAAGGGCATGAAAAGGAAAGATGCAATGGTTGCAAGATAGAGTACAAGATGGACAGTAAGACTTGTGGTACATCTACTTTAAACCGTCACTTTGACAAATGCACACAAATCAAACATGAAGATATTGGCCAAGTCATTTTAGACATGCAAGGTAAAATGAAGGCTATAAAAATAGATATGAAGGCAGCACGTGAGATGTATGTTGAAGCTGTTATTGAACATGACCAGCCCTTTAACTTTGCTGAGTATAGGAAGTTTAGGCGTTTTCATAATTACTTGAATCCAGATTGGATTGGCATTTCTAGAAATACTCTTAAACAAGATGTTTTAAATGTGCACATGAGAGACAAGATGAAGCTGAAAAAGATGTTTGGTAGCATTGAAAGTAGGATATGCTTAACTTCAGATTTGTGGACATCTTGTAATACCGAGGGTTATGTTTGCTTAACTGCCCATTTCATTGATGTAAATTGGAAGTTGAATAGTAAAATTATTGCCTTCCGTCATATGCCTCCTCCTCGTACTGGATTTGAATTGACTCATAAAATACTTGATTTGTTAAAGGAATGGGGCATAGAGAAGAAGATTTTTACCATTACTTTGGATAATGCATCTGCAAATGACTCTATGGTTAGTGGTTTGAAAAGCCAATTGAATATTGAAAAATTGTTGTTATGTGATGGGAAATTTTTCCATGTGCGTTGTTCTGCACATATATTGAATTTGATTGTTCAAGATGGAGTAAGAGTTGCAGATGATGCCTTGTCTCAGATTAGAGAGAGTGTTAAATATATAAAAGGCCCAGAATCAAGAATGATCAAATTTAAGGAGTGCATTGAACAAGTTGGTGGTGAGAACACTGTAACTGCATTGATAGCAGATGTATCCACTAGATGGAATTCCACTTATGAAATGCTTGATCATGCTCTCAAATTCAGGCGTGAGTTATCAATTCTCCAATTGAGTGATAGAAATTACAAGTATTGTCCTTCAGAAGAAAAGTGGAATAGGTTAGAAATTCTTTGTCGGTTCTTGCAACCATTTTGTGAGATCACTAATTTGATGTCTGGCACTTCTTTTCCTACTTCTAACTTGTATTTTCTACAAGTTTGGAAAATTCAGCGTGCTCTCATTCGTATGAGTACTGATGAAGATGTGGTTGTAAGTAGCATGGCTAATAAGATGATGGATATGTTTCAAAAATATTGGGAAGAGTATAGTGATGTGCTTTCACTGGGAGCTGTTCTTGATCCTCGCATTAAGTTTACTACATTATCTATTTGTCATAGAAAGATTGATGCTTACACACATGATGACAAGATGGAAAATATAAAGGCAAACGTGTATAA